AAAACAAAAATAAAATTGAAGTAATTTTTTTTGTCTAAAGAACTAATGTCAATTTATTGATAAGAGAATAAAAATATCGAGATGTTTCTGGAGATAACAAAAAACAAAAACGAAAGAAATAAAATTATTCAATAGTTTGTTGATAAATAAAAAAGTGAACAAATAAATTAAAAGCAAAAGAATTTTATATTTAGAATAAAAGATAATTAGTTTTTTTTTTATTAATAATGATTAAAAATTTGTCTTTAAGAATAATTTAAAAAATGATTATATATTCAATGAAATCATTAATCGAGCATTTTTAAAATCTTAAGAAAATAAACTAGATCCTTTTTTCTTTTCTTTTTCTTTTTTTTTGTGAAACTATTCAACGATTGATAGATGTGTGATTCACCCGATTTTTCTCTTTGACCAGACGCCTTGCGTATACAATAGTCGGTCGATTTGGGCTTATCGTTGGTGAATACACACACACACACGCGCGCGCACATAGTAGCCGAACAAACGTATGTGTGTATGTGTGTACACGTTTCAATATTGATGTAATCAAATCTCAGCTTGACCTTATTCAACAAGCGTCACTATACTAAAATCGACTAGTTTCTTTCTCCTTCTCCTTCTTATTTTTTCTCTGTCTCTCTCTCTCTCTCTCTCTTTAGCCTCGTTCTTTTCTCCGGTTCGTCAACGAATATTTTCTTTTCTCTAAACACATTCTCTCGTTTCTCGTTGGTCGTCATCGAACTACACATACACATTACAACAAACGAGAAAACGCGAGCGGCTGTCTCATTTTTGTTCTTTATCATCTCTCATTTTTTTCCTATTCGCACGACTAACTATCATTCATTCGTTATTAAAAAATAAAAAACTAGTGTCTTTCTCTCTGTCACAGTCTGTCTCTGTCTCTGTCTGTGTCTCTCTGTCTCTCTCTCTCTCTCAATGTACATCTATTTTAACACGTCGCATTAAACAGAACGTCATGATTGAACGTTTATTAGTACCAACTCCTCCAACACAAATAACAGAACTTATAACTGAACCTCAAGAAGTATATGAGATCTTTTTTGCAAAAACAAAAAAAAAATTCTTTTAAATTTATTTATTAGTTAACTCCAACATCATTAGTTGATTATGATATTGTTGGAAATAATACATCAATACTTGGGGAAAAAAATTGTATATCATGTCGTTTAATTATAACAGATGAAAGTTATTTACGTGTACATAAACATGGAATATTTCATGAAAATTGTTTAACATGTTATATGTGTCATCGACCATTGATTACAATTGGTGGAGGTTATTTTATACGAAATGGTTATGATCAACAATCACATTTTATTTGTCGACATGATTATCAAATAGCTAATAACAATAAGTGAGTAAAATGAAATAGCCTTGATCATTAAAAAAATATTCTTTTTTTATTTTATATATATATATATTCTTTTTTTTTCGAATAACGAATAAATATGTCGATGTGAAAAATGCATTCATGCGTAGACAGTTACAATTAATTATGAAGAAAAACGACATATCTATGAAATAGATTGATATGTGAGAGAACACGATAGTTGTCATTTAATGTCGTGTGTCGTAAATTGAAAAGTGTCGAGTAGTATCATACAAATGACTTATCGATTGCTTGTTAGAGATTCTTCTCGTTTTTTTGTTTCCTTTCTTTTCTTTTTTTCTCATCACACCTGTTTTGTCTTATCATCGATTGATCGGAAAGGCTTCATTTATTCTATTGATCTGTCAGAGCTTCTTTCTTTGACTCATTCATTTTTTCCAGCATCATTATCTGTGAACAGTCGCGTTTTTTTGTCAATCATCCGCGTCTAGTACACTATTGAACACATATCAAATCACTGATATAATATATGCTGCTGTTTCAAATGAATTTTTTCGTTTTGTTTTTTTGTTTTCAAGAAATAACGATAATTCTCAACACAGTTGGGGGTGTTCGAAAGTAAAACTATTGAGCTGCCTGAAGCAGCAAAATAAGTAAATCACTTGTGAATAGAAATAAAAGATTATTATCGAAAAAGACTATACAATGAACAATATTAGTCATGGGGGGTCACATATAACCAACATCGATTTGCTTTAAGGGAAACAACATAGATCAAAATAGATCAACTGAAAAATGATTTTTTGGATTTTTTTTGTTTTTTTGTGTATTAAAGGTCTTATCAAAATTCTTCTTGTTCAATGTATCTTCCACAATGTTCAAAATGTCAAACAATAATTTCAGCAAATGAATTAGTTATGCGTACTGATGATAAATATATATATCATATTGATTGTTTTACATGTTGTTTATGTAATGTTGTTTTAAAACCAGGAGATGATTATGGTTTACATGGTTCATTATTATTTTGTCGTTTACATTTGGAACAAACAACAAATACAACATTTTCATTATGTTCACCAATTAAAAATCCTTCAACAACAAATATTAATATTAAAAAATCTCGACAAAATGGTACAACAACACAACGTAAACAACGATCTAAATTAAATAATCTTGAAAATAATACAAATAATTTAGAAATAACAGGTAAATAAAGTAAATAAAAGAAAATTTTTAATTAAAATAAAAACAAAAATAAAAAATTGAATTTTATCTTTATCGTAGCATTTTTAAATGGAAATGATCTTTCAAATACTGATGGAAATTTTTCATCAACTATATTTAATAATCAAACAGTAACAAATCCACAACAACGTACAAAACGTAATCGAACATCATTTAAACATCATCAATTACGTATAATGAAAACATTTTTTGCTCAAAATCATAATCCAGATTCAAAAGGTTTAAAAATTTTATCACAAAAAACTCAATTAAGTAAACGTGTACTTCAGGTTATTATTCGATTTTTTTTGTTTTATCAAAATTGTTTTTCTTTTTTTATTTTTATTTAGGTTTGGTTTCAAAATGCTCGTGCTAAATTACGTCGTGGTTTACTTCAAGAACAAGAAAATAAACAACAAAAAGCATCAACATCAGTTGATAATAATAATTCATCAACAAATGAATTTTTACATTTAATAAATGATGATGATATAACAAGTGGAACATCGAATGATCGTAGTAGAACAGAAGATGAAGAAATTATTGATGAACTAGATGATTATGACAATAATCAAAATAGTGATTCATCGTCAACTATAAATACACATGAATTTAATCATCTTATGCCGCCTTATTCTATGTACCCACTTTTGTGATATTTTTTTTTCTTTTTTCTTTATTATTAAACAGCAGCAATCCAACAGAGTTCAATCGATCAAATATATTTCTCTCGTATTGATTTCTCATTTTTTTTTTATATATTGTTTTTCCATATGTTTGATGCTTGTTGTTAGTATTCATATACGAATCAGATTTATGATTATGTCTATATATATATATATATATATGTGTGTGTGTGTGTGACACAATGTGCGATGATGTGGACAAGATAAGCGTTGAATCAATAGAACAAGAGAGACTCAAACATGCATACTTATCGTTTACTAAAGTATGAAAAAGAAAAACGAGGAGATCGAACTTCCTTTGTTATATATCAATAGAAAAGGCCAATTAATGGGTGGGTCATTGTCATCGACGGATGTATGTTTCGAGATTTATTTTAAAGAAATTATTTTAGGGCGGATTTATGTTTTTGCGCATTTATTTGATCAATTTTTTGTTAAATATAATAAAAATATAAAACCCTTTTTTTTTTTCGCTGACGATATTTCATGTTCACTCATCTTAATATAATCTTCCTGTCGACTTATCTTCTCTCTAGTTGCTATTGCATGTTAGTTTCATATACCGTCTCCTGGTGTGCTATACGATCATGCTCACTGTCAACGGCACTACTGCTGTTGTTTTCTTTTTTTCTAGACTATTGTATATGTAGAAAGTTGAGAGTAACCCTATTAGATCGAAGGCACGTGTGTGTGTGCGCACATTCGTTTTTTTTGTCTTTTTTTTTAATTGAACTAATTGCAGGAAGAAGTGAACACGCAAACGAGTCAGGTATAAGAAAAGAAAAAGAGCAACTTAATTTTAAAAGAAAAATGGAATTTTCTTAGTTTATACTAATAGTTAGAAAATAAAGAACAATTGAAATAGAAGAACACTATTGGGTATTCTTTGATGATGAGTCAATTGATTCTTCTTCTTGTTCTACTTATTTTTGTTTCTCTGGAGAGAAGAATGAATTTAGGTGCTATGTCATCACCTTGATCTTACTCTTTCGTTCAAGGTGTCAATGTCGGGACTTTGTATGCAGATGATCATCAGAATAATAATTAGTAATACAAGAAGAGTCGATCTTTCTATCGATTGTCCGTTTTTATTTGTCCTGGAACGTGAACAATAATTGAATATGATCTAAATGGGGTAGCTGAGGAGGAGTGTGTATTGACTATCATTGAAGTGATAAACGAGTCTAGTCTAATAATATTATTAAAGACTATGACGCCATGAATAAACATTGACATTGGAATAAATATGTGAGAAGAAAAAAAATGAGAGAAGAAACCTTTTCTGTTATTCTTGATCTTGCTGGGCGGGTAACTGAGAAATTGACATTCCACCTGCACTAAACTAAAGGTCAATACTTGGATAGTAAAGATAAATATATGCTGCTAATTTGCCAAGAATAATAATATGAACTAGCAGCACAACTGTTGACTGTCTATAGACAATAAAAACTCTATTTGGTCTTTTATCGATGAGAAAAAAAAACATTCATAAATATTTTTTCTTTTTCTTTTCTCTGTTTTTTTTTCGTTACAGCTCAAATAGACACAAATATATGTTGCACAGTAATGACTAGAAGAAAAAGTTCTTCTTTGGTTTTTTTTTCAACAGAGTTTTTTTTTTTCATGTTTGATTTCTATACAACATACAAACTAAACATTTATATGAAAAAAAAAGAAAAAGAAAAAAAAAAGAAAAAGAAAAAGAAAACAAACGAACAAAAAGCAATACTCTACTACATGGAACCATATGTTTCCGATTCGCTGAAATTCACCGATGATGTTTTTGAACGAATTGATTCAGTTGGTGAAGATAAATTTGATGAATTTGTTGTATCTTCTCTTGTTGGATGTACATCAATCATATTTGTCATTGTTAAAGATGTTTGATTTACTTGATTTTGTTGTTGTTGTTGTTGTTGTTGTTGCTGTTGTTGTGTCATTGATGAATGTTGAGATGCTGATGATAATGTATCACTTCGAGATACACTTCGACGGTATTTTGCACGTGCATTTTGAAACCATACTTGTAAAACACGTTTTGGTAAATTTGTTTTTTCAGCAAGGTTTTTTAAATCTTTTGCATCTAAAAGTTTTCAATTTTAATTAAAAATATGAATGTAAAACAAAATAAAAAAAAACAAATTGTTAACCTGGATTATGATTTAAATTAAAATATGATCTCATACAACGTAATTGATGATGTTTAAAACTTGTTCGTACACGTTTTTGTCTTGTATGATGATGATGATGAGATCCACTTGATAAATTATTATTATTTGTTTGATGAGAATGTAAACTATTATTATTTGTACCATTTCCATCCATATCAACAACATCAACATAATATGATGAATCTAATGACGCTGTGAACAATGATCCTTCATTCCCAACTAAAAAAGAAAAAAACAGAAAAATTTCAAAAGTGGTCACTCAACAACAAATTCTATTTCTATATTGCACATGAATTTTCAAGTATCACACCCCATATAATAATCGATTGAACAGCAGTCTATAATCCTTATTTAAGCTCTTCAAAATATATTCTCACTTCAATGAATATGTCTGTCAATCATTTACGAGCAACAAAAAAAAAAAAAAAAAGAAAAAACGGTTTAATTGAAGAAAAAAACAAACTCAATATACCCATATTAGATGAAGATGGTGAAAGAGATAAAAAATGATCTGATGATGGTATTATATCATGATGTTGTTGACGTTCTTTACGTTTTCGTGTACGTTTAGTTATATTAGATGTTGTTCCTGTTGGTGTACTTGTATTTGTTGGTGGTGTTGATGGAATAAGTGTCGGGATTGGTGATGTATAATAACCCGAATCATCAATAAAACCGGTTGGAACAGAATTTGTATGTGAAAGTGAACCATTTTCAATTCCAATATCAAGTACATGTCCTGTTAAATGTGATTCATATGATTGTTGTTGTTCAAAAAAATGATGACGACAAAAAATTAAATCATCTTTTAAACCAAATTCATCACCTTTAATATATAAAGCAAAAGAAAAAGTAATATATTATTTTAGTTTTTTTTTTTTTATATCTCATAGGACAAAAGCAAAATAACCTACCTGGATGAAGAAGAATATTACAAGTAATACATGTAAAACAATCCAAATGAAATATAAATTGTTTTGCACGTAGAATAACTTCATCTTGTCGAATAATTGTATGACATCGTGTACAAACACGAGAACAATATCTTCTACAACAAAAAAAAAAAAAAAACAATATATTTTTAAAAGAAAAAAAAAATAAAAAAAAAGGAATATAACTTACTTAATATAATCATCTTTACAAAAAATTTGTCCATATCGTGCAAAACATGTTCGTTCTTGTTCAAGTGACATACCACAATCAAAACATTTTAAACAAGATAAATGCCAACTACGATCAACAGCCATTAAATAATAACGATCATCGATCAATGTACGACATCCATAACATACTGTCAACATATTATCTAATGTTGGCATTACTTTCTAGAAAATAACAAGTCTATTCTTAACTTCAATGTAAAATGAGGATGTCTAGTTGTTTTTTCGTGTGTGTGTGTGTGTGGTGTATCTGTTATCTTTTTAGACGGATGTAATACGAGAGATTCATTCTTCTACTTGTCTGAGCAATTAGTTGAGAATAAAGAAATTGTAGGAGGGGAACAAGACAAACTTTCTTTGGACTCATATAGATCTATAAACGGATGTTTCAGATCATTTTTCAAAAAAGAAAAGAAGAAAATGAAGAGGAAAAGAGAGCGAGAGAGAGAAAAAGATGGATATCCGGAAACTTTTTTTTTATCTAAAATTTTTATACATACTCTTTAAGATGATAGAAATATTTCTTTTTATCAATAGGTATGAACATTTAGTCACATGAATGTCTTGTCAAATGTCAAATAAGAAAAAAGAAAATTGATAATGATCGTATGGCACCGGTTGATGCTATTTGAAGTCAATTGAACTTATGTCAAATATTGAATTTTCTTCTATGTTAAACATACAATCATTAGAAAGAAAGAAAGAATGAAAGAAAAGAAAAGAAAAGAAAAAAAAAGCGAAATATTGTGTTTGCTTTTTTGAGAAAAACGAAATCAGTAGGAAGATTCACTTATATAAACAAACAGCATGATCGTGTGACCTAACATCAAATAAACAACATCAGTTCGAAGTCATGGATCATATTTTTATTCGTTCTCGTCACCACCCTGTGAGATCTTCGATATTAGTCTATGTGTATATATATGTCAAAAAGATTGACTTTCATTTTTATTTTCTCTATTTTACCTTTTTATTTTTTTCTATATGATGTCAATCTATAATTTGATGATGATTAGGATCAATGAATTTGGTCTACAATGCCGACGACGAGTCAAGTATAGACATACATCTGGTTATGCTTGTTCACACTCAACAAGACCAATAACATACATAACGGAGAGAAAAAAAATAGCAAAAAGAAATTTTTGCATTAGCGTTTTTTTATTAACCAATCAAAATGAATCTCTCTCTCGTTTTTTTTTCTCTCTTTCTCTTTATACGAGAAAAAAAAGAGGAAAAGAAGAAGAAGAAGAAGAAGAAGAAGAACAGTTGTGCTTCTTGCTCACACACCTGTTATAACATGTCATTCGCTTCACCACTAGCAAAGTTCACATAGCATAGCAATTGTAGTGTAAAATGTTTTGACAGATACGGTAGTGATGTGCTATATGGATATTGATATGTGATGGTGATCATTTGTCTTTTCTCTTCTTTTCTCTTTTTCTATGTAGAAATATGTGTGAACGAAAAAAGTGTTGACGATACGAGAAGCCGTTCATATATATTGATTTATGAGAAATGAAGTAATGTTGCTATTGACCATATAACGATAGAGATAAATAGAAAGTGAATTAGGTCATTCACATATTAACATTCTTCTACTAGTTATATTATCATATGAAATATAGAGTCAAAAGAAAAAAATTCAAATTCTCTTTATGTATTTATATTTTTTTCTATTCAAAAGAAATCTTTTTTCTTTTAGTTTAGAAATTTTACATTAAATCCTATAATATCAAAACGTTAATTAAATAAAATTTAGCTTTTAGAATCATTTGAATAGTTTTGGTAGTTGGTTGTTTTTTGTGTAGATGGCGCTTCTTATAACGAGAAGTACTTTTGCTTTATATGATCTTGATTATTATACAAATTACAAGTTATAATTATTTAAGTTTTCAGTCAAAGTGACACTTAATTTCTGTATTGAACCTGTGAGATTTATCAGGGATGTGGCGACCACGGGGTGCAGGGGGGTGCGCACCCCCCCACTTTTAGAAAATTATCGCTTTTCCCCAGCAAAAATCTGTGTTTTTACTGAAAAAAAAGATCATAAGATGGAAAAATAAGGTTCTGCACCCCCCACTTTTTTAAATTTTGTAAATGCATCCTCTCACGTTCAAAAAATTTTCTGAACACACCCTTAACTTTTGAAAAAAATTTTCTTGCACCCCCCCACTTTTTTCTCTTCGCCACATCCCTGAGATTTATGTTTGAACAAGAATTTTATATGAGAAAAAGTATAATTGATACTTGAGTTTTATTTCATGTAAATATATTTTATTGAGANCGCGGGACCGTGAAAAAGTGTCCACTATACGGAGGTGTCCACTATATCGAGGTGTCCACCATGTAGAGATTCGATTCCAGCAAAAATCGCTCCGTCGGACCGCGAAGTGTCCACTATACAGAGGTGTCCACTATAGAGAGGTGTCCACTATGGGAGGTTTTACTGTATATATATATGTATAGATTGATTCGACGGTTCTGACTTATAATCAAAAATAAACTTTGTATCATTTCAATAAATAACATATAGATGAGTAAAAATCATTTAATAAACTGAATTTCCGAACATTTTTGCTTTGATCTCGTTCAGAACGATATGAAGCATAGATGTTATTAATATGCTAATTACCATGGCCACTATTATATATAAATGACTATTAATCGATTTAAACATAAAGTAACATTGTTTGACTGATCAAAATTATTTATTTTCTTAGATGAATATTTTCCTCGTTTTTCTTTTGTGCTCATTTAGAAAAAGAAAACGAATAAATCAAACGATTAATTATCAAGAAAACCTTAATTTGTTTGAAATAATAGAAAAGTTTAATTCAATATTTTTTTTCATTTCAGTATACATAGTTAGAGAAAAGAATACTAAGTAGAAATAGATTAAAAAAATGCAACTGCTCATTAACGTCGCACTGAAATAAAAGTAGTAAACTAAGTATATTGAAATTTATTTGATTTTTTTTTGTCTCTGGGCAAATTTTCAATCGGCGCTTCATATAATAAAGATATGAAATGTGAATATTATATCAAAATATATAATGTATTACTTTTTCAATTGAATAGTTGAATATGAACTATTGTCATTCGAATCTTATTTTACTAATTGAAGAAGTCAACGGTAATTTAGAAAAATACAAAAAATGTCAAATACGAAGAGTTCGGATAACCTTGAAATAAAAAAAAATTTGACTGAAGAAAAAATAAAACACGGATACATTTTTAGATTTTCGTCTTTTGACAATATGGAGAAAGAAAACTTGATTATTTATTATTCGATGATAAGATCAATTGAAGCCTATAGCAATGATTATTCTTTATATAAAAATCATTAACGCTATTCATTTTTAGAAAATATCTACTTTTCCAACGACTTTGACTAATGTTAATGGACTGAATTTGAATAAATACTTCAGTACCAGAATTACATTTCGCTGCAAATACTCAAGCAATGACATTGACTATATATTTTATGTAAGAGTCGTTTAAAGTACTATTCAATATTCATCATATTGAAAACGTTCGAAAAGTATTATTTTAACTTACCCACTTTCAGACTGCTGTTATACCTACAATTGACGTCAACACAAATTCATTTCTTCAATGACAAAAAAATTTCATCGATTTTCTTACTAAAGATAAATTCAAAATGTCTATACGTATATGTTTTTTTAGCCTCGAGTTAATGTAATTGCTATACTGTATGTCTGTCATTGATAAAATACTCTTGTAAATGCAACCAGATCGATCAAGTGTCCTGTCATTAGTCTAGGATATTTTTTGTTACTCAAATGATCATGTCATAGCAATGGAAGATTGAACAACATGGAAAGCATTAGTTTTTCATTTTCTTTCATGACTGTATGAAAGAAATAGAAAAAGAAACGAATAAATACATGAAAATTAATTTTGAAAGAATACAAGTATTTTTTGACATATACATATTGTCAAATAATCATTTGTTTTTCTTTGAGATATTGTACAATTTCTGAAGAGATTTTATTTATATTAATTATTATTTCTATTTTTCACATATTCAGGTTTACAATAACGTTATTCTTGATTTTCGCCTGTTTGTCCAAAAGCGACAACACAGATCATTTTGCATCTTATTGTCCGGAAATCGGCAAGTTATTGTGGAACTTTCAAAACTTCATTAATCACTATTAGGGTTTTCCATCAAACTAAAAAACGCGTTTTGAAAGCTTTTGGAATTCTATGCATCTTTTAGTTTTTGTAATCGATCAAGCAACAGTTACTTTAGCGATCAACAGAGGGATTAATCAGTTGAATTTATATCAATATGTAAATTTTTAAATGAAATAGAAATAATAAAAATATTCAGCATTTCCCGAAGGATTTTCTTTGTGAATGACGATCTACAAAAAAGAAGTATTGAAATATAGGAGTAAGAATTTGAATGCTCCCCTACAGATCATGACAGATGCAAGCGAAAGGCCATCACAAACCATCACAGACGTTGTTGATATACAACCAAAGAGGACCGTATAGAATCAACATCTTGTTATAATATATAAACTATTTCGTTATTGTATTTCTGAAGAATTAACTAAAAGGAAAAAGCCGAAATATGTTTGAAGATAGACAAAATAAAATAATCTTTCTGTGACTAGTAACAACAGCTACTTCGTCTTTCACATTTTAATTCAACAAGAATTACCCAAATAGCTTTTTGATAAAGAATTATCTGTTGTAATTAATTTGTAAAAGATACAAATGACATAAACTAATTTATTTTGAAATGAATGAATTTATATGATTGGAATCTTATTAATTATAATCATAATTAATATGCGACTATGTAATCGTCAAGAAGATTCTATTATTCATAAAGAATATACAATACGAACCATATTTTTGAAGACATTTTTGACTTAAATTTTCAATCACTGTTAAAAAAACCGCAATGAAATTATTTGTTTTTATTCATAAAAAAGAAATAAATCCATAGAAAAATTGTTATGCCAGATGGAGAAGTGATTTCATTAATGGATTTACATAGTTTATATCGATTTTACTTTTTATATATCGATGAAAATCTCGTGATAATCTTTGAATTTTAATAAGTAATTCAACAATTCGTATCATTTTGATAACAGCTGCATTAAATGATGTTCGTTCAATTAAATAACGAAAGAGTAAATCAGTATATTTTGAATGAGCATAAAATACACGTTGATTATTATTCAATGACGTTTCTTGATCATCAATAGCCGATAAACCTTTTAAAAAAATCATATTAAGCATTAATAATTGAGCAATTACGGAATCACTATCAACTAAACTAACAATTATATGAAGAATAGACATAAATAAACGATTAAATTCATAACCATAGCAAAGAATAAATAGACTTTTACAATGTTGAGCAAAGGCTTCTTCAGCTGGTGAAACTGAATTATTCATATTATCATCATAAATAATTTCACGTGTTACATCAAATGTTAATGCATGACGTATAGAAAAAAGTAAAACTAAATTATATTTAACCAATATTAAACGATCACTTTCATCAAGTTCTTCAAATTCTGGAATTTGTCTTATAAAATTAATCAATTTAACAGCAGCAAAATTTTGTATATCTAATGTATTCATATATGCTGACATTTTATCAGGTGCTAATTCAAGTGAAATAACAGATGAAGCTGATGGACTTGATTGTAATGCTGATAAATAAGCATTTCGAATATATTGTAAACAAGACCAATCAACTTCGGTAAGACTGTATGACGGAGATGATGTTATTGTTATTACCTAAACAAAAAACTTTATTCTTTTTTGACAATCATATAAACGCTTTTTTTTTCTTGCTTACTGGTTCATATTTATTATATATGGTGAGAGGTTCATTAGTATTTTTTCTTTGTATATCACTAACATTACTGTGAACTTGCCCTAAACGCATCCGACGATTTTCTTCCAGACGTTGTTGCTTTGATAGTTTTTGTTCTGGTGTTAATATAAAATCTTTACGCATACCTAAATTATTTAAAAATTTTTACAATTAATTAATTAATTAATTCATTGATTAAAAAACAAATCATAATTATATTTTTTTTTTGTGTTAAATGATTATTATATGAAAGATAAAATAAAAAGAGAAAGTCAATGTACCCGATTCGAAACATTTAAGTAAACGACAACGTTGACATTTTTGTCTAACATCATATCGAATATTGCATCGAATTCCTTTTAAAATATGTTTTGGATTAAGACATTTTGTTTTTTCCTTTAATTAAATTAAATATGTTCAGTTTTGAGAATTTCAAACAAAAAAAAAATGAAATATATTTACTATTGGATGTAATGCATTACGACGAAAAAATGCTACAAAAAAAAAAAAGAGATCGAATAAAATAAGTAAAACAATTGTTGTTGAAGATGAATAAACTAACCTTTACAAGATTCACATGAAATTTGATCAAAATTATAACCAGAAGCATGACCTTCACAAATGACACAAGTCAAATCAGCTTTACGACGTTTAACAATTTTATTTTTTGAATCATTATTTAATGTTTTATCTTCCTAAATAAAAGCAAAAATAATTTATAATATTAATAACAAAAAATGTTTACCATTGAAGGTAAAGATGGTTTGCTGTTTCTATTATAAGTTAAATGTGTATCAATTATGTTTTTATCATTTAAATTAACAACAACAGTTTCACCATTTGTTTGATTCAAACATGAAAGAATATTATTATTATCATTATTATCATCAACTGATGTTATTATCAAAAATTTAGTTGTAGACTTTTTACCTCGTTGCTCATTATCGTTGCAAATCGATTGTAAATTATCGATATTCGTCATTATTTTTCAATGCACAATCATATGATGAAAGCTGATAAATACGTCTACATACAATACGTATTTTTTTGCTATGAGCACGTAAAAAATAAAATGCTTTATAATGATGGTAAAGAAAAGCTTTCACCCGTAAACATCATTCTTTTTTTTTTTCTTCTTTCTTTCTCTTCCATGAATATTTATCAATACGGTTTGTTCACAATATCAGCAGGTACAGTTGCATATTCGGTACCGTAATTAGAAAACGAACGAAAGGTAAATAAAAAAGAAAACGGTGAGATACTGACGACATACTCAGGTGACATGTGTGATTATGTAAAACGATACACTTTTATCATCAATAATAAACTAATATATAGTAACTGAGGTTTTTCTTTGTGTTTTTTTTTCTGTTTTTTTTTATAGTGGTCATTCATCTTGAAATTTAAAGAGGTAAACAGTTAATGACGACACTTTTTTCTCATAATATTCTTTTTAATAAAAGCAAATAAATAAGACATGAAAGTCATATTCGTGTCACACGTTGAATGTAATCATTCGTTTTATTTTTGATATTGACATTCTTTTCACATTGGTGTATTTTAGTTTGTACTTGACGATCTTTTTACCTTTTTTACAAGTTGGGCATATTTAATAGTTTAAGGACAGTTTTATCAATTACAAATATTATCTTCATTTCGGTGAAATTATTTTCATAGGTAAGAAGACAAAAAAATTTCAAGAATTTAAAAGAGAAAGAATTTTTTTTATTTTTTATCTTTTTAAGACATAATTAGATTAATATATTAATCGAATAATGTCTAAATCTATTCAGAACAGATATTTAAATGTTCTATGAATAATCATACAAAAATTATCATAATTGAACATTTATCATCATTCATACAATTACAAAAATACTAAAAAAGAAAAATTAATTATTATTATTAATTGATATTATTGCCAAAGAAAATAAATTTACTTGATCCTTTTTTTTTTTTTTTACAAAGACATATTTGAATAAATAATTAAATATACATTTAACTATATCATTTTCAAAAGGGGATATATACTCTTCTATGAACTGTATCATATATTGATATATCGTAATTGTTCTATCAATTGATTAAATATAGACAAATATATATTTAGAATAAATTATCAAAACCTTTAAATATTGTGCTGACATTGTATCTGCTGAAGAAAGAAGATCTTGTGCATTGGCGAACTATATTCTTCGATATTTTATCTTTTCATTTACTGATAATGCTCTGACAAAAACTAAAAGAATATTTTTAATCACCATCGTCAATATCATATAGTTTACTCGCAAAGAATTATGAAAAAACGTAGTTGTACTCTAAAGAAATATATGACAGTCGTCAAAACTATTCAACCAATTAAATATTTATATTTTATTTTATTTAGTGTATTTCTCAAAAATGATATCGGCTAGAATCCTTTACTTTTCCTCGGATTAAATTCCATTATCTCTAGTATACTAATCAGATTTTCAAAGTGTTTTTTGCATCTGTTTTAAATTAAAATTTTCTTTATTATAAATAATTCAATAGAATAAATTGTGCTCTTTATAATGAATACTTTTAAGCATAGATTTTCTTTGAGTAAGAGTTAAAAAATCATGTTTTTTTAATCTATATTGAATATTGACAACAACTATGTGAGAAAAAAACTTATTTCTATGATGTTTAATTAATTTATTGTTCAATATATCATTAATAAGAGTACTACATATCAAAATAAGATGTTCTACTTTAATTAATATTCAATGTTGAAAAATTGTGTTGGTCGTCTACAATGAATACACTAATCACAGGTAAATCTTCTTCTAAAATCTCATTAAAATATTAAAGAAGGTATAAAAAATTGTATTAAAAGTATCGTTTTGAAGTAAATATTTTCTATAAAAAGTTCTTATAGTTGAAATAAAAAACGATATTATGACTTTATTTTAATAGATTTGTTACGTTATACATAGGAGGAGTAAAAAGCTTCTAATAGTCACAGCAACAGACGGAACATTTATCTCACCAAACAAAGATGTATCAAATGAGGTTTAACAAAGCTTCTTGTTCCAAATTTTCATTCTCTATTGAAAGAAATGAGACGCGTAAAATATATATATATTTGCGACTACTCGAANGTTGAAACTTCATTTCTTCTTTTGAAAATAACTTGATTCAATAATTAAAATTTGTAATATGAACAGTATGCTTTTTAATAATACAGAAAATTATTCTTTAGTTCTGCTATTATGTATTAAACGCTTAAATTGTGGATTGATTGTTACATACTGAAACTGGAAATTTTCTCATTTCTATTTTAAAAATAGAATTATCAAAATGAATAGAACATTGTTTGCTATATAAAAATCTTTCTTTATTACACAAATCATATAATATCGATGAAAATTGGACTTGAAAGACGTCAATTAATAATTATCTTTTGTTTATATATCATCAATGAGTTGAAGAGACATTTTCTTATGCTCTTTATATTGATAAGAGTTTATTTTAATTTTATCTATTATTTAGTATTGAAGACATAGTTTTTAGTATTTTATTGCGAAAACTTTTTAAAATTCATTATTTCTTGTTTTATTAAATCTCCGAATACATCATTATTTCTTTTAAAGGTCATTTTTTTGAAAAAGAAAACAAATCATATAATGTTTATGAAACTTTCCATACTTCGTCTGACATATAACTTGGGATTGTCTTTTAGAATAGCACTGTAATGGATGTCTTTCAAGGCATTTATTTGAAGCATCGAAAATATTGTTGATGGGTCAGAAACAGAATCGATTATAACATTTTCCTTCAATATATATAATATTTCCCGATATATATATAAGATTGGCTTCGACAAGCTGTTGACAAATAATGTTAGACGCTACTTTTTGTGCAAAAATAGGAACATCTGACCGCAATAGCACAAGATATATATATATATCTCGACTTGAATTTATGTTTGATCAAGTGAAAGAAAGAATAACCTAAAACACTAAAATAAATACAATTAGTACTAGAAAAATAATACAAGTGGATTGTATTAGCGTACAGGACAAGGTCTTTAAAGATATTAACAACAAGAATTCATGTTTCACGAAAGCTATGATGACTAAGGTGAGTTGGCTCAAAAATGAGAATAGTGTAATCCTTAACTAGCTGAAAGAAATAAAGGCAATAGCAATCCTGATCACAGGATGATTGTAACCGCCGAATGTTTATTTTACAATGATAATATTGAATAAATAATAAGTAATGAGAACCAAGTTGACTTAGAAAAAAAAAATAGGCCAATGTATTACTAATAATATCGGCGACAATAAACATAATGTAAACGTATGCCAAATTGTTTGACATTTCAAAATCCATAAAATAAATATTTTCAGTAACATCATTGATGTTTTCTAGCTAGTAAAATGGAAATAATGTAAGCAATTCAAATACTTTGAAACGTAAGCGATGAAACATTTTGAATCTTGGGTAGACTCAACAATCTCTATAAGATCTTCACTAGGAAGTTAAGAATAAAAAAGACAGAAGAGAACAAATGTCTTTATGCCATTTGGACGAAACACAGTTAGTACTTCTTGTTTCCAATTTATATTCTATACTACATAAAGCTGGTACAGCTCAAATAAAATCTTCAATGTCTATCAAAAAATCATCCACTTAAACAAACATACCAATATTTGTCTCTATTTAATTTCGACTCTCGAAAGAAGAATTTTCGATCTATTTGACAGAAAAACAGAATTACAATGGTTGACAACAACAAAGAAAAACTTAATACTTGATGTTAAAGAATCAAGCTCAGATTCAAAGCAGATTATTAAAATATAGATGAACTTAATCTATTAGGTAAAAAACATGTCAGAATTAGAAAGAATCGTAAATAGTAACTTAATCAATTATGAATTCATTTTTGTTATTCGATTATTATAGATTTCCTTCATGCAGGAGAATATTCCAATATACTTAATGGTTTTTCTTTTCTATAGTAAACAAAATCTATTTAGACTTTGTCAACAGATATATGTATAAATATGTTTCAAGCCACATTGACTTCCAATGATTCATAACGTATTATTGCGGATGATTCTTTTCTTACACACATGACTTTTTATGACTTATATTACAGTACAGTCTCATCACTGAAATTGTATACTTTTCGCAATTCGACAATGGCCTGGTCATGCCGTCGTTTCGTTTTCTGCCTTTTTTTACCCCACATATTTATACGACAACGAATATTCTCCCGTTTACAGAAAGAATGTATATAACAGAACGAGAGAAGTCAGTTACAGTAGTCCAACGCCTTGATGAATGAATTTGTTTTTTTTCTTAATCTTATTGTACAACTCATTTTTAAATAATTTATACAGTAAAATCAATTTTAAATTTCGGTATTTAAATGAAATATTTTTCTTTTAAAACATTCAAAAAAAATTTTAATTTCGTTTTTTAAATTTTGAAAAGAAAAACGGCAAAAAAAATTGTTTTAAAAATGAGAAAAACATTTATTGAAAGTAGATCAATGTTGATAAGCAGGTACAAACGTAATATAATAGCTCACATTTGAGTTCTTTGTTTTTATATCACTCATAGATAAGTAGTTACTAAAAAGATACAAGATAAGAGAAGTTGTTATTCTGTTACCAATTGCAGAAAGGGTTCTTCTAACGGTTAGTTTATGCGGTTTGCTTGGTTCTTTCGGGACAACAAGTTAGATTCTTTCTTTTTCGTCGTCAACGCTATTTATTTATTGGTTGAATCTGTATATATTTGGACTAGAATCTATAAAAAAACTGTATTATCAATCATACGCTTATACTTATTTTTTTTCTCCATTTTGTCGTTCTCCCTATAATTCATTTGTGGATATGGGCGCCCACTAGAATTTCTTTGTTTTTGATTGACTCCTTCTGTTCTTCATCTTATCTCATGCTATATAGAACATAAATTTCTTCAGTTCTTATATTACATTAGAATTAATTT